AAATGACATGGTAATATCGTGTAGCATAACTCTCAACGAATAAATTTTAAAAAATAAATAAATAAATTGTGTAACAAAATGCCCCTGATGGGATTTGAACAAGCGACCTCTTGCTATCAAGGCGAGTGTCATAACCATTAGACTACAGAGGCTTAATGAACAGATACAAATAACCGCCAGATACACTCTATTACACAAAATAGTTGCATATAATATAAATCAAGGTAGCCGTTAACACTGTTAACTTATTAATTTAATCAAAGAATGGTAAATACAGTGTTCGAATAAAGGACATAATAATACAACGTGTAGCATAGCTTTCAACGAACGTTGTCCTATATAAATAAATAAATATATATATATATATATATATATACATATATATATATATATATATAAGTTTGGATTTATCGAATAGAGAGAGAATGTTATAATCATCATAAGAAAAATCATGGCTTTGACAGAACTTTAGGCATTAGAAAGCAAGCACAGTAACCACCAACCAAGATAAAGCTTCACTGAGTACACAAACATATCTGTGCACGTTTTTCCCTTACGTCAAAAAGGGAATGTTTAAAACACAACATATTCTTAATAATGTACAATGATTTATGAAAGATATTTTACAAGTCAAATAAAACACAAATTGCACTGATATCCTTGAACAAAATGATAATTGTATCATGCAGAGGACTGCATTATTCGCACACCATAACAAATATTTTATCATGAAAAATGTAAAGGCAATCATGTCCCTTATTTGATGACAAGTAAATCGACAATTGATCACTTCACTACAAATTACCTTAATAAGGATCTAATTCTCCAGGACAAAAAGGAATTACTATGGTTGCTAATATGCATAATAAGTCACTCAAAGGCCATGAAGCTCCAATGCTGAAAGTAGAACAGTGAAGAGTAGCCTAAAGGCACATTGTAAATTCCATGTTTTAATTTAGCATTGCCAGATGAATGGGATAAAAAAACATTACATGACATAAGGGATCTAAGCTGGAGGGGTTGTCTTTCCCCATCTGTCATTTTGACATCAATTTAAAAGTCATGCATTATTATAAGGACAGTACAACTAGAGCATAGATCAATGTAATTAACGCGTAATGAGTCGAGACAACCAAGTGCATGCAATGAAAAAACCTGGATATCCAACGTTTCACATTACATCTACACAATGAATTAATAGTGCTTAATGAACCAGATGAAATCTTACTGAAGCCTAGCTTAAAAAAAAACACTGAATAGGACACAGTCCAGTTGTATCCAATAATAACTAAAGTCCTGAAGCACCACTGAAAAAAAAAAATCAAGGCATATAATTATTTAAATATATCTCTTCATCCTAAATACACAGTACTGTACAATAATTCTTCTATATAACTTATTAACGATAATATGTTCTTCCACTTGCTCTGTCTGCGGACAGTGTTCTGGTGTGAGGTTTCCGGTGTCCAATATCAGTTGCTGTCCTGATGGTAGAACTGAGAGGACGATGTCCCCGGAATCCACTACCCTATAAAAAACATCAGGAAAATTCATCATTTATATAAAACAAAATGCATAATTGTCAAATTATAATTTAAAATACAAAAAGCATCTTTAATAATATAATTTTTAAATTGGTTTGGGACACATCTATTCTTTCAATATCATACAATCCTGTTCTTCTTTTATTTATCTATATATTCAATATACAACTACTGTACTGTATTAGAGATCAGCAAACTGCAGTATTTAGCAGCTCAAGCATAAGAGACGCAAAAATGCCCGATAAATACTTAAAAATGCGAGTACAGATGTTAAATAATAATACGTACAGCTGTGGAAACCTTGTGACTGAATGGAGCATAGGTTGTACTAAGGTGTGACGTGGCTTCTGTAGTTACTGAAAAGATGCAAATGGCCCAGTTAGTGAAAATGGCCAGGTGGTCAAGTAAACTTGACCAGCTTGTCAAGCAAAGACACCCAGTTGATTGAGTGGAATTCATGAGTTAGAAGTCAAATTAAAAACTACTTGTTGTTTCAAGAGTAAATGGCACTGGTATTGGTCAAGTGAAAATGACAAGTTTGGCAAGTGAATATGACCAGTTGATCAAGTGAAAATGACCAGTTGGTCAAGTGAAGATAGAAAGGTCATTAAGTAAACTGACCACTTCTCAAAAAAATAAACTATCAGCCATTAAAAAAGATCAAATAAGTTCTTTCAATAAACAAGATAATTTGAAAATACAGTACATACTTCTTAATCTTTCATTCAAACGGTCCAGTGATTCCAACAGTCTTTGTTCTTCCATGGAGAGGGTGCTAGGTCCTAGAGGACAAAATTCATATACGTTTCACTCTAGACAATATAATTTTTAATACAAACAAATGAATCATTCTTGTAATGGTGAAATATTTTGAGGGAAAAAAAAATATAAATATATTATAGTAGAATCCCACCTAAAAAAATATATAATTCTGACAGATGTGAGACAGAATTTGCAGCTGGCAAAAAGTACTGCAAAAAATGAAAGACCAGTATGCAAAATATTAGCAATATTTTGTGAATAACTAAAGAATGATCATTTTAGAAATGGCTGAATAAAAGACTTCTTTTCAATAAAGTTTAAAGACATTTAAAAAAGATTTTAAAATATTTAAAAAGATTAAGAGCTTAGAGTAAGAAGATTACAGTATTTTGTAATTGCTTCTTTTTACAATGTTGATTATATTTGTTGATGCATTTTCAAGATTTACTAAATACAGTAGTATTAAATTACAGTTAATCAAATCTGACCAATCAATCTGTTGTCCATATATATATACGGTAAGTAGATAAAAGGGAGAAATGGCATCCTAAATCTTTAAAACATGCACTGCATCCAAGAATCTCACCAACTACAAAAGGAAACATGTGATGCTTTATGAACTAAAAGTCTGATTGAGAAGTGGAGTTGATTTTAGCTGTGAGGAAAATTATGCACTTTTACTGGATTTGAACCCAGCACCATGGCCTTGAATGGTGACGACCACCAAGCTAAAGTTTTAATCCTAAACTATTTTTTTTTTCTCATTACATCTTAAGCAATAAAAGAGTTGTTGCTATAGTATCAATGGTAAACAAAAGAAGGGGGAAGGTCATTATAAACTAAAGAGGGGGTAGTTTCTTTAAGCATTCACTCATTCTAAAATAGCCTTTTGCCACAGTGATACTCAGAACACAATTTAATTGTTGGTGAGATTTGAATAATAATAAAAAATAATAATAACAAATATTTATATCAAAACAGGTAAGAGAAGCCACCTACAATAATGATGTATTTCTTTTATCGATAATAAACCAAGCTAACATAGTCTAACTAAGTCATGTTGATAACATCAATGAAAGCTCGCAGTAAGTTTACATCCGTTTTGCTTGGTATATAATCGATAAAATAAATAATAATAAATTGAAGAATTTGTATAGCACCAGTTAGAAAAATATTATTTGTCACTGGCACTTAAACATAAAACAGTTCTACAGCTACAATAAGCAAGCAAAATGAAACTATTCGAATAAATCTATTTCATTTAAAAAAGTTTTGTACATGCTAAGAGGGGAACGAGATGTCTACCTTTCATCTCTGGCCTAGTGCACCGCTGCGGCTGTTCTATTGCCGCTGCAATCTCCGTTTCACTCAAGTCATCTTGAGCTAAACGTTCAGCTCTTTGGAACAACATCAAACTGTCACTCACTATGCGTGCAAAAGAGAAATGAAAAGCAATGTAAAAATGAATTGAACAAAAAGTGGAAAAAAAACTCATTTGTCTCTCCAAGAAATGGCAAAGTTTGTGAAATTTAATAGACTTATTATTATAATCTACCACATTAATGAACTAAATAAATTGTAATGGTGTAGTGATACAAGCAGAAGTTAAAATCAAAAGAAAAATTGAAATGGGAAAATGTAATTAAGTTTTGCAACATTATTATTTCTGGCCACTTCCTCCACATTGACTTGCATGCAATTAAGTGTATTAAACAAATTTTTAAAATTTGGGTTAAATCTTAATGATAATTAAACCAACCTTCCTCTCCGTTTTTTTGTCGATCATTCATTGTAAATGATGGCACATCTGCACTACCCATTGGTTCATTATGATGCGATGTTCTTGTATTTTGACCTCGAAGAGATGCGGCATGCTGGCGTCGCTGCTGGAGCAGGGCGGTACGTCGTAAGAAACTGCTGGCTGTGTCACTGCTCGTGCGCCGACGAGGGTATGTACTATTATTACTCTGAGGCACTAACGCTGATGGCATGGGTGGTTTAGTACGGATAGCACTAGGTCGTTTTCCATCAGCATACTGAGATGATGTAGATGGTGGTTTTCCGGTAGGTGGCTTCTGAGCGACAGGAACCGGAGCTGTTGTTCCTTGCTCTTCACGAACATTCAAACATGTTCTTACTTTGTCCCATAGCCAATTAATTTCATCATCAGTTGGTGTCCTGTCCAAACGTATACCATTAGGTCCATAAACCGCTTTTCCATTGGCGCTTGCAACACTTTTATTACCATTAGCACCAACATTATTTGTTTCGTTATTTGGCTCCTTGTCACTGGTAGAATGAACAGGTTGCCGTATGGCAGATGATCTAGGCCTAGACACAGAAGATCTGTTAATTGAGCCTGCACTAGATATTCTGTTTTCCTGGGTAGTACTTACTCTGTTTCGACTCATCACCTTGGCAGATGTGGGCCTAGAGCTTGTGTCAGCCTGATCTGCGCTTTTCTTATTGAAGATTTGTGCACTAATTTGTCCGTTCGAAGGCCCATAGTGATCATCATCACTATCAGACCTCTTGTACTCTAAGTCAGCCCATCGTATACCCTTCTTTGAAGGAGAGATGTCCGACATGCTTGATGCTTTCCGCAGTTCCAAACTGTCTACAACTTTGGCACCACCCAAACGGCTCATGGTATAGTTGCCATACCTTTGGCTTGTCATTGCGCTGTTCTTAGCAGTAACATTACCTTTTTTCAAAATACTTTTTGGTGCTTGTGTGACCTTTTTGCTAGATCCTGCCTCTGCATCGACAACCTGATCTACAGTATGTGAAGTTTCTGGGGATATCTTCACTTGTGCAACAGTTCTTTCAGATCTTGGTGCTGTACCTGCATTCTCAACATAATGCTCAGGTTTGCTAGCCCGACTGGCAACATCAACTTTGTATTGAAAATTCGATGGAGGTTCAACTGTGTACAAAGTTGCTGTCGTCTTAGCTGAAAATGGATGCAAGTGAGGGGCAACCACAGTATTTGAATTTTTATCACTGTGTTCAACCTGTGGTGAAGCCCATGCAACTGCAGTTCTTGTTGTCGTATATGGCTTTGTACTAGCATGATTTCTCAAGACATGATCCATCCGATTTTTGGCACTTGATGACGAGTTCAACAACCTAGGATTGACATCCACTTGGTCCTGAACAACATCAGCTTCATTAGTCTCTTCCAACCTGATCTCACCACCAGTATTTTGATCCAATCCAGAATGTTCACTATTTTGCACAGGTTTTGTGCTCGAGTTCAAAGACTTATAATCAAATCCTCCTAAATAAGGTGTGTGTGTTACTGTCGACGTACCATTTACTCCATTTCTGTAAGATGTAAAATTACTTGTGTGAGTAGATGAGGGCAGCACACTGGTTGAGTATGCTTTGGAGACTGGTATTCCTTTCGTATTGTCTTGCTCCTCTAGACTGTCCACACTGGAGCAGCTACTGCTCCTTCTCAGCGGCCTCTCTGCTTCATTCAAAATCGCTTTGTTAAACTCATGCAAAGATTTTTGACTTTGTTCCACAATGTTCCTTTGTTGGTCTTCAATTTGTTTTTCATAGATTGATTTAACAGTTGCACCATCCCTACCAGGGTACCCACTAGTATTGTGTGATGTAGCTGAAGGGGGAAGGCCATGGTAATTTACCCCCCTCCCATTCAAATTCATGGGTTGGGGGTTACTGATTCCAGACAACCCCTGTTGATTGACATACTGTGTGTGTCCGTTGGTCAGTTGACTATGCATTGTAGACTGGTAGTAGGGGTAGTTGGACTGTGCACTGGTGCTTTGTGACTGGGGGTACGTAACTTCCAGTTCATGGTGTTTAAAAGCCAAACCTGGTGACCCACGTACTGCTCTCAGGGCATCATCTAAACCAGGTGTGTGTCTTGATGTACCTACAGAATACAAATTGAAATGATTAGTTTGTTTTTTTTTGGTGATCTTATTAAATGTAGAGAACATTTTGAAGTACATCTATGCAGTACATACTAAAATTATACTGTAATACTAAAATGAATACGAAAATGAATAACAATTGTAAAATTTATTTTTATGGGCATAGTCAACTTTTCGAACGGAACTTGCACACACTCACTAAATCTGATTCAGATTGTGCAGCCATTGTATCAGGCTCAATGTTAGTAATGAAAATGGAAATTTCAGCAGTAAGAAAAAGGCCTGTACCTACTGTCCCCCAATCCTTGAATCCACATGCCTTACGTAACCAGTACTCAAACATTCAATATTCAATGAGATTGTGTTACAATACTCAACAAAATTTTACCACAAAGTGTCCTTTCAATTATTATGAAATTATTTACTTATTTATTTATTTATTCAACTTTTCTTATACTGGATTGCATGCTCAATGCAAAGGCATTGGATTTTGTTGTGGTCCAGGTATAACATAAAAATACAAAAGTGATAAATTCAAAAATCAAAATATATATCAAGTTTTAAACTTATTATGAATATAGAATTAGGTTTATAAAAAATAAATGAATGATTAAATGAAAAAAATGAATGAATGAATAAATGAATGAATGAATGAATGAACAAAAGTATAAAAAATGAACAGATAAACAAATGAATGAATACATGGATGAGAAATGAATAATTGAATAAAAAATACATACTGTACAAATAACCAGTGTTAAGACAGAATGGCAGAAGTATATCATAAATTTACCATTTGTTCCTGTGTTTGAGGGATGAGTATATAATCCTAAGTCATATGCCCTTCCTAAGCCATGGTTGGCCCCTTGCAAAGACAGAGATATTAATAGAATGTAAATCAAATATCACAATAATGCAAAACAATAGGAATGGGGACGGGAAACTACAGTTTATATTGTACACTCTAGGGGTGTCAATCAAAAAGACTATGTTCTAATAAACATTACAAAATACAATAACATAACATTTAACCTAAGGTAGGAATCATGTTGGGTACTTCTGTGAGTCAAGAGGAAGCAAATTCTTATAAAATCAAAGGCAAAGGTAAGACGCTTATTTCCTTGTCTGGTGAATGTGTCATTTATTTTAAACTTCTGTCTATTAAGCTCTCAGGTTAGACCACTATAACACATACCTCGCACTTTATCCTCTGTTTTCCTGTGAGTGGCGCTTTTCAAACGTTGGTACTTCTGTGTTGCTTCATTCTGCCTCTGTTTCCGGTCATCTAAGATTTCCTGTCTCCTTCTGGCTTCTTTCTGTGCTTCTAACTTCTTCTTAAGCTCAAGTGCCCTACAGAGAGAACAAAATAAACTCAATTAAATCACACATCTTTGACTACATTTGCTGAGCGGAGTATGGTGGACCACGCTCCGCCAAAATAAAGCTCATGCCCTCCCCACTCCCACATTGAAAATGTTAAAAGCAAACAAATTATGCTCAAGTAGATAAAAATCACCTCATATTACTTAATTTTGCAAGCTAGAGCCCCCTCAGATAATGGAGCTCTATCTTGAACTGTCACTTGTTCCACCTGATTGGTGCTTCGCAGTTTATCAACTGTCTCTTATACACATCTAGATGTGTATAAGAGACAGCTACTGTATTTACTGTGGATGTAGTGTCAACAGCATGACTGAAGTAGGAGAACAAAATTACAGTAACATAACTACTAGTTCACAACTGTGGGATTTCCACCACTAAGCCTTTAACATATCAAACAGGTGCTCTAATCAGGGAGATGTAATGCTCTAATAGATTCAATCATAATGTACAGTTACTGCTGTGGATGTGAGCATTTCTTTATCTAACAGTTACTAATTCAGAGCAAATTAACCTTTACAGAACAGTCAAGTCAAGTCATCAAGTAGCAGAAACAACAAATAAAAATCATAATATGAAAATCTTCAGAATAAAAATGCTATTTAAAAACTTCAACCCTTAATATTGCACCTCTACTAGAAAAAAAAAAAGCTGCTTTAAAGCTAGATAGTTAATTTTGTTACCAATTCCTATAGAAATACTTCTTCGTCGTCTTCTCCACAGGATCCGGACTATCATCCATCTCACTGTACTTTTACACACAAAAGAAGGCCACTACAATAGCCAGACAACGACACAATAATCTATAAATAACATGGGTAAGCACAGGCTGTGGTGCATGGAATTCCAAAACAGGAAGAGAATAGTTAAAACAGGAAAAAGAAATACTACAGTCCCCTTGATTACGCCTTCCTTCCGTCTGTCAACAGAAGATCTATACTATGACTATTAGAGCAACAACAACAGAGAGAGTAATTCCTTGTTTTGCTGTTGCCTCTAGGCCTGGCTGAACATTCTTTGCTCTACTTCACTTAATGAGGTATTTCACTATCACTAACTCAAATAAAAACTATAATATTTGAAGAATGTTGATTTTTGCTTTTGTTTACATGACTGAAATGAAACAGAACTGCAGAGTCATAAAACAAGGTTTGTCAACCTTTAATTTCACAAATTTGTGGATAGCCCACTACATACATCTACTGGTAGTAACTGATTTGGTCTGCAACAATTAGCCTACAGCATATTAGGTACTGCTTGACTGTAACTTATTGTGTATGGTAATAATAGTGTAGTTTTATATAGCGCCAAATCCATCTAACATAAGATGCTCAGGGCGCTTGATGTGTGGACTTGGAATTTGATCAATGACTTTCTTCACCCCTTATGGTCCCTTCGTGTCTGTGCTACCCCGTAACCCGGTACCAGCAACTCTGATAGTCCACCGCAGGAGCTATCGGTTCCAGTACACTGGGGTATCCCCCTACTCTTCTTGAAAGGATGTACAGGGTTCTTTATAGTGCACATGAGCCATTGTATACACTGGGCCTACGGTTTATAGTCCTTATCCGAGAAGACTTGTTCTACCACCAGAACCACAGGCGAGCGTCCCGTTTGAACCAGCGCCGATATTATGGCTGTAGCTTGTGGCGCCCCTGCTAACCGCTCAGCCAATTGACTCACAAAATTATTATATCAGTTTAACCAGTGTCATGAAGTCTATATGTAAGTAACAATGATAGAAACTCAATAATAAAGCTTTTCTTTTTTCTTTTTTAAACTAACCTCCTTCTCCTATTGGTTTCCAATGATAAAGAACGAGCTCTATCTTGAACTGTCACTTGTTCCACCTGATTGGTGCTTCGCAGTTTATCAAATCGTTCCTTCTCCAGGGCTTTGAACTTTGAACTAATGATCAACAGTTAGGAAAAAATGATGAATTTTAATAAAAATATTATTATGTACTTTAATGGACCTTTCAGGTGTGTCAATCAAATTGAACAACTGACCAATGAGAACAGGGCTAGGAGTATGCGCATGTCTGACAAACACATGTGTTGTCCTACAAACGCATGTATGTTTGTGCATGTTTTTACACTGTTGTTTTGTGGGCGCTTAGCAACAATATTTAAGGAGTGGGGTTTATTTGTGACAGCTGTGCCATCCATGACAGTACTAGATTTAATTATAGAACAATTTAAAATAGCTTTAGGTTTACACTATATAATACATCTGTCATAAACTACAGAAAAATCTTCATCTAAATCGAATAAATATTAACTTCCAATGATAAAAGATCAATGAATTTGTGTTGTTAATAATACTGTATTGTCGATCATTTGGATCCATTATTCACAATGTAAGTGGTCAGTTAAAATAATAATGAGTAATGCACAATATAGTGCACAATTTGGGATAGGAAAATAGTGTTGGAGCTACAACGATGATGTCAACTGATGACTTATAAAAATTATTACTGCATTACATTAAATTTCAAAATACTACTTCTATATTGAAAAGGATACGAATAAGCTCCTCCAGTGTTTAACATCGTAGTTTTTGGTGTAACATCAACACTTGTTCTAAGAGATGAAGTTGGTTGCAAGTTTACCCAAACGGTCATTTCTATGTGACAAACGACAATTCACTTTAACAATTATCCTTGCTTCACTATAGTAATACTATACCTCCATGCTTACATCTGGATATGCTCCTACCAAGCTACATCTATTAGCAACCGGTACAATAATTAATAAGTTAATAATTAATGCCAACTGTTAGGTTGATATCACATTTTAAAATAAACTATATTGCATGTTATCAAAACGGATCTAGGCCAGATGGTCGAAATCCAATTTGCCGAATGCCAGATTGCCGAGACCACTTTGCCAAATCCCAGTTTACGAGTGCTAATTTACCAACTCAAAAACAATGAAACCCAGTTTGCCGAATCCAGTTTAAAGCATTGAAACAATAACTGCAGCAAAAAATTCATAATGAAATACTCTCTTCAGACAGTACTGTTTTGGGTTTTGTTAGATCTCACCAGTGCAGCTCAGAATTTCAAGAATGAAAGACATGACTGACTCAAACATGGCTTGGGTCAGCCCTGTGTGACATGGTAGACTGATTATGCATATAAGTAAGAGTGCACAAACCCAAAATGGTGTGCTATACAAAATACAGAATACACTGGTATATATAAAAATATTCACTCATAAAACTTTGTTTAAACAATTAACATTAAGATTAAAGATCAGAGGAACCAACAGGATCTCAGCACATCTTCTAGCCTTAGTAGATTTAAAATTGGTGCCTAATATTATAAAGCCTAAATCATTTATAGTATGGCTCAGTAAATTAAAGTGGTGAGCAACAGGGAAGTCTTTTTGATGGTCTTTAACTAATTTTTTGTGGTTGTTAAGTCTAAATTTACATTCGGTTTCGCCTACATAATTGCCGTTATTACACTTAGTTCAAAATAGTAAATTGGTGCCTAAATCACTGATAGTATGGCTCGGTAAATTGAAGTGGTGAGCAACGGGAAGCCCTTTTCATGGTCTTTAACTATGTTTGTTAAGTCTTAGTTTACATTCGGTTTTGCCTAAATTGCCGTTATTACATTATTAGTTCAAAATAGTAGCGTGCTGCGCTTTTGTACGACGGTGACGGAAAAATTTGGCAAAATGGGTTCGGCAAACCAGGTTTCGGCCAACTGGGATTTTGTGTTTTCGGAGAAGTGGATTCCAACTGGATTCGGCAAAGTTGCCTAAACTCGGCAAATGGGGTTTCGGAAAACTTGATTTCGATGAACTGGTCAGATACCATCAAAACAAGGCGACTTAAAATTTACTTGTGATTCAATCATGCACCGACACAGAAAATTTAAGCTGGACACACCTCGCCGACAGTCTTCAGCCAAACGCAACACAATTAGGGCCTAGCTAGGCTAGTACAATGGATGTTTAATGATTCACTCAGATAGCGACAATCAGCAGATGGAAAAGACTAAAAGAAGTGGATTTGTTGGCCGATCATCATACAGCGCATTGTGTTCCTAGCTTTATGTTATGTTCTGCCATTCACATCACACTCTCAACTCAGTACCTAGACCTACGGGCCTAGCTGGCCTCCTATTATATTAAGTATTATTTATTTATTGTTAATACTGTAATATTATGACTATTACTTATTTAGTTTAGGCCAAGGACTGGGGCTAGGGCCGCCACGCCTAATACCAAATTGTAACAGGCCTAACCTAGGCCTAGTACTATGTCTGGGCCATTTTAGGCCTAGGGCCCTAGCTAGGCCTACTCTAGTAGTACTAGGCCTACAGTATATAATTTTTTCTAGGCCTAATCCTAATAATTTGGGCGTAGGCCTACAATACAGCCAAATAAAAAAAGGTTTACTGCATAACATAAGATGCTATTGGAAGAATTAGGCTAGCCGCTAGGCCTAGACCTTTACTTATAGGCCTACTTATGTATATTTACTTTACACTTCTGTCTAAAAATATAGCACGGCCTAGTTAGGCCTATCTTAGGTCCGGCTCTAGGCCTAGGTAGGCTTAGTTAGTCATACATGAAGGAAGGATTTAATAACGGGGCACTCACAAATGACAACAAACTGACGCAAGGGCTAGCGATGATGAGAAATTCGATGTTCTAATTATCTATTACTATTAGCCTCGTCGCAGTATGTCCTTTTAAAACAATACAACAATTTAACAGTCACACACACGTCACAGTATCGTGATATGTTGGTACATGTATACGATATTACCCTTCAATATCCGTATTCATTTTTATAAAATTAGTACATGAACATCTAATAATCTCCAATTAGAAGCACAGTGTCAGTCGACAGTGTCAGTCGCCATTGTTACACTATACAATGTGCGCAAAAATGCATAAGTAGGTATTTTGCGCACCTACAACACTGACAGTACGAAAATAATAAATTCCGCCCTCTGTAGTTAAAAAATACCCACTTTGCATTACCGCGTAACTTTCCCCTATCTCCTCTGAAACCGCTGGCAGGATATCTCATACACTGGGGCTTCTATATATCACGACCACATTCCGCTACTTTTTAAGGCTGGATATTTGATAACAACGAAAAAAAACAGCCAAAAACCACCGAAAATCAGTACCTGTTTTGCAAGTTGCTTACGTCACGTAAATACAATTAATCACATCTATTCTGTACTGCAATGCTTAGGTCTAAAAATTATCGAGTCAGGCCGTAAAAGAACCAGCATCCTCCCCTAGATACGCCACTGGTTGTATGCCTATAGAGCTAAGCTTAGAGATTTTTTAAGTGGAGTGGAAATTGATAGGTTTTTGAGTTAGAAAAAGTATTAAAAATATATATTTTACCCAATATGACGTACTATCACTTACTACTCGTGGGCTGTAAAATATTCGGGGGGAAAAAAGAAGAAAATTTGATCCGTGTGCATCTCTTAGCAGCGGTGGGTGATACGCATGCGTACTGGGCGATGCTAAGGTTTTTTGGCGTTATAAAAAATATGACAAATGATGTTTTATCATCCTGGATGAGCGGAGCATTCGTCATGTGCCCTTTCTCAAAAGGGATTGCAAATTGAATAGAATCAACAAAAACTATCTTTAGACATGCTGATAGACGAAAGTTTTTGGCAAGAAAGAATAATGGAACTAGTTTCCAGTCAAAACTGATGATAATAGCCTATTATTAATTCTGGCCTGTCCAGAAAATAATGACTGTACAAGCGATAATCCAAAAGTGCGCCATCTGGGGTTCTGAGTACCTAACATCTTTAACACATTTCATTTTCCCTCCATGTTACAATAAAATTCTATAATATAGGCCTAAGAGGCCAAAAGTATACAGTAATTTTTAATGTCTTTAAGATAGAATAATATAATTAAAATACAGGTAGTTTCTATTTTCCTTCAGTTGATTTCATGGCTATTTCCATGGCCATACCGACGTCAAGCATGGGATAGAGTAATCTGGTGTACACAGTGCCACCGAGAGGGGGTGGGGGAGATACCGGGGTCCAAGCTTACCAAGGGGCCATAGAAATTGCAGGTAGCATGTTTTTTTCAATATATTTTTTAAATATCATGGGCCCTCAAATGGCAAGCATTGGTCCCCTAATAATGGGCCCCTCCAGATTGACAGGGCCCCCAAAAAATTTGTTTGCGCCATCGCCGCAATCTTTCTCGCACTTCGCCCACACCAACCCTTGCCCCTGTTACAGTTTCCCCTCGTGGTCTCCCAAAGCCAGATGGAGCAACATACTTGACCAAATATGTACCGTGAAGATCTCTGGGTCTTTGGTTCAATTCCCATCGCTGCTCTCATGTGTTTCAGCTGGAGGGCTGAAATGCAACTCACCGTCTTTAGAATGAGACAGTTTATAAGCTGGTACAGTGTTATTGCCCCATTCTTCGGTAAAAGTGTAGGGGATTGTTTCCCGTTGTACTGACCAACCAGATCCCACTGGAAATAAGTCTTCTTCGGACTGTCGTGGGTTATCCTTGGTGCTTACACCGAATGACCCGCGGAAGACATCTAGGCCCAAAATCGGAAGAAGAATCATCTCCCCAGAGTCCTCCATAAAAGTACGATACCCTTCTGAAAAAAAATCAACGTTGCACTTTTTGTAGTTCATCCACGTATTCATTTGTTTTGAAAAGAAAGTACTGTTTTTCTTCACTTAAATATACACATGAGCATTGAACCAATACAATCAGGATTAGGCCTACATTTGTCTTGTCTTGATATTGTTGGAATCTAGTAGTCAAAGCAATCTCTATTATAATAGAAACAAACTTATGCTGGTCGACTGTTTCAACCGATCGCATTGATCCATGGGTGGTAAATGGGCGCTTTTCCGACAGCAGCTAAAAAATCACTAACCAAATGTAAATCATTTAGATAAGATATAAAAATGGTTAAAAATCCTAAGCTTTAAAAGGGCATAACCACCTTTCTACTTGCAATATTTTTTTTTTTATTTATAATATTTTTTTTTCTATTTAATTTTAATTTTACTAGCAACCTGTTCAATCTGTTAATTCTTAAATAACAATATTTAACTTAATAATGTTTATATAATGATCAATTTGTAAAATAACTAATGTTTAACGTTCTATAATTATCAATTTGTAAAAATAATTAATTTTCTCAATTTGATTGGTCGTGCAATTTTTAAAAGTTATTATGGTTTATTGTTGTGTCTTGTTGTATTTTTATATCCTCTCATACATTTTTATTCATTATCTCCCAAGAAGTTTAATGTTTCTCTTCTTACTTGTGTCTTCATTCGTACTTCATTTTATTATATTTCAATATTATTAATAACTTCGTAATTTTAATCGAAAATGTATTCGTGTATATTGAATTGTGTGGTGTTTTTTTTTTATTGTATGGTCTTTTTAGTGTAAGCATTTTTAATTATAAATTTGATGTAATTCAGGTACCAATTCAGCTGCCAATCAAATCGAATAAAAAATTTAAATCGAATAGGTAAGGAAACATCCCAAAAGCTCCCTCTTTCGACTAGGGGTTAAGCGCCCCTTTGGACTACTCGCGCCACCCCGGCAAAACATTTTGAATCCGCCACTGATATGTTGACTGCTAACATGAGATACCACACGTAGTCATATTTGCTTTCTCAGTATGTGTTTATCTGTGTCTCAATATGGCTTTTTCCTATGCTTTCTGTTTCAATTCTTCGAGTAGATCTACAGCGGGGTTTGACGGGACTAACTGGTCTCCAATGATATTTATTTCAATGCGTTGTGTTTTGTTCTTTTCTAGTTGTACAGTTTTGCGATCTCCAACGTGAAAGTCACTGTACCTCTCAGTAGGCCTTATGTGATTTTTGTCAGAGATACTCAGCCAATGAAGCAATACCGCCCTTTCCAAAACTTCGGACAAAAAATGAGGTTAAGTACTTAAAGTTACTTATTAGAACTACCGGTACCGAACTGATAGTTCAGGATCAAGTGTTTTCAATATGGGTTTTACGTATGCGTAGTAGACGTCAGAAACAGTTGATCTATAATAATCACACGATCAAATAAAAAAAAAATACACAATCTGTGTTCTGATCATTATGCATGATCATATATTTACTCAAAATGCCATATTTTGAAATAGAGCTCAATATAAATTTTAAATTAGGCTTAGGCCTATATAATTTACACCTTCCATCTTCAGAAATATATAACTATTTATATATATTTATACAGTGATTTGTTCCCATCCCATTTGTTTATCCCATGATTTGTATCCATGAGTTCTCTCTCAAGTGCTACCACAACCCTTATCGACCTTTATGTGACAAAGTATCCGCTATCCGTGATATGCCCATATAGGTATGATGACGTTACATCACACCCATTTATCGGCATGATGATGTCATTATCTACATTATGACGTCATATTACACTCTCAGTACATAAAACACGATAGTGTGGGCAGAGAATTACTCAACGTTTGCTTTCATTTTCCAAAGATGTTTTCATGTTTCACAATATGAAAAGTCTTGTTGGTTGATTTACTTTGGTTTGTATTGTAATTATTGTGGAAACTAAAGTGGTAAACGCGAATTTGAAAACATCATATCTACAAACGTTGCAAAAACTGATGAGTTTTACTCGAACTATAGAACTCTTAAATTACAATGTGCCTATTGTACAAAGTATGTACAGTACCAACGCTTGTTCTAGTGAAAGTTAACATGGATTTCAGCAATGAAAATGGCCAAACATCCACGAAAATATATTCGTAAAGAATCGCTAAATTCGAAGCACACAGTGCATGATTTTAACCTTGATTGATAACAGATATGCCCAAATAAATAACACATAATTACGAAAACAATTGCACAATATACATTCTATTTTTTTATACTATGATATCACAATTAATGATTTAGGTCGCTTAAACAAAATGTTGTTTCAAAAGTATTGAGTATTGTAGGCTGAATTTGACATTTGTTTTTGTTTCCATTCTCAGTGTGTTTATGACATGTCGTAATAGTGATATTTTTAAACCGGCAATTGAACCTCATAGCCAGTGTTTTTTTATTTGTAAATTGTATTTAGGCTGATAATAATAGTTTGTGTTGTACATTTTCTATTATGGTTTTCCTGCCTGTATCATAATATTGATAAAATAAAGTTGATTGAGTTATGATTGATTTCATGTATTTGTAAATGGACTTTTCCGGTGTGTCAATCAAACTGACCAATCAGCCGGGGCCAGGAATACGCGCGTGTCTCACATCAAACACACGTGTTGTCAAACAAACGTTTTCGCGTATGTTTTTACATTGTAAATGTAGTTGTGGGGACCTTAGCAACAAAATCCAAGGGGCGGGGCTTAGCGGAAATGTCCACTGAATAATGTCTGCTTACAGATCGTCAATAACGAAATCATATCTTAGCTCAAATTTGTTGATGCCGATACTATTTTTTGGCACTATACAAAAATAAATGTCTGTGATTGATTAATATATTCCGGTATAAAAAATAAGATTAATACATTGGCATAGATGTAACAAGGAGATGTAAAAATAAATGTTTAAATCTCCCTGGGTATAATGGCGATTTTGAATGATTTCTCCATGTGTATACATAATATAACCACAGAGGACAATAAGCTTCTTTCCTCCAGATATAATAGGTACCGTAGCCTATGCATATGTTTGATTATTTGTTAATAATTCGTTGAAGTATTTGATACGAATTCTTGGAAACACTGTAATAGGCCTTGCCTACGTCAGTAATCGAGTTCGTTTTAATCAAATATAGTCACATTAACAAAACGCGTGCCATTGACCGGAAATATTAATAATAATTAAGATCATAATCAAAATGCACCATACAATTTACGCCTAGTCCTTAACCTTTCAATATTGCAGAAAATGGAATCACACGTCCAGCGTTTTCACACGAATGTAAAGACCCAAAAGATGGTTATCCGTACCGAAAATCAATAAGGTATATGAGTGTGGTCATGAGGCGCTATATAATCAATAGAAAGGTGGTACCATGACATCTCCGACTCGATTCGTCGCATCTCTTTTTCGTAAGTGTTAATAAGAATAGGCTACCATCTTCATTTAAATCACATTGACTATTTTCAAAAATTGATATGAAAGGGCCTGTCACTCTTGAATTCCCATCTACCTGGATATTTGTAAAGAATGGAGCAGAAATCCCATCATTAGTCAATGTAGTCACGTGTAAGCTTCACACCACGGATACCTTGTCAGTTACAAGGAGAAACGTAGAGTCTTCTCTTATCCTGTCATTGGCAAAGCTCTCGTTTCCGTAAGCATGCTTGTTGGTGTATGAGGAGGAGCTACAGCTGCTACTACCTTCATCTATTTCGCGCTTCTTATCGTAAAACCGACTGCTGTCCAATTCAGGGTCCTCTTCCAAGTGGCCTGGTACGACATCTCTTGATGGTCGCACTAAAAAGAGTATACAGGCGCCAATGATGGGCGGCGCTCCTGCGTAATAAAACGCAAACTCATACGTTCCCGTGTAGGAAAAGATTGCTCCTAAAAAATAAACATAAACAAGAAAGGAAATCAAGATTAATAATTAAGACTGACCAACATATTATTGGGAAAACACTTGATAAGGTATACAGAACCAGGAATATGTCTTATCATTAAACAACTAGTGTATCAACATTTCATAACGCAGTGAATCTTTTATGATAACAGAGATGCGTAAACAAAGCACAACACAAAAAACATCAACATGACTATCTTCGATGGTTAAAGGGCACTGTACCTATAAGGTCAAGTATTTAAAAAAATTACTTATGTTTTGAAAAAATGAGAATGAGGGCACAGAAGTCACATGACCGTCATTGACGGGATCCGTTGACAGAATAACTGCTGCTGGCGTTCACTTGAGATCAATGATATCCCATTATGCCGTCACAAAATGCATTCTGTTATATTTTATATATAAGCTGGTCAATGGGAAACAGCCAATACTTTCTCATTTTTACCAAGTAGACACATTGAAAGCAAATAAAAGAAGTACTAGACATGATTCATACCATATGTATCCCCAACCATTAATATCCCTGATGTGAGTTAGCCAGATTTTCGTACATTTTCGTAAAATAAAGAAAATTAAAAAAAATAAAATAAAAAAAATTCTTTATACTTCACTATTTACAGTAGGCCTACTTATTGCGTTTTACATATAAACATGAAAGCGGTAAGCCCAACCGTTGACATGAACTGTGGAGGCCCAGGTAGTCACACGGCCCAGTACAACGGTATGGCCACATCTAAACAATAAATCTATCAATCAATCAATCAATCAATCAATCAATCAATCAATTAATCATTTAGTGCCGGTGTCATAAGTTGGATTCGCTTCATTTCCTGCCCCTCCGAGGCAAATCCTCAGTTAATTTGAGGTTAGGCTTAACAAAACCAAATTCAATTGAATTGTTTTATTCTATAATGTGGCTTGACCTCTAACACAGACATGAACACTTAAAACTACGAGATGAATCACTAGTCGTCCTCTGTCATTCGCGCGAATGAGTGCTGTACCACTCAAGGAGATGAGCGGCCATATTTAAACACATGGGACGGTTAGAATATTATATATTTTACGGCTTGTTGGAAAGGTAGTTGTGATATTATTATGCTCACCTGCAACAGGAGGTCCAACCATCATTGGTATGCTCATCAGACCAAGAACATATCCAAGTGCCTGAGACATCCGGTCCTTGCCGACGACATTAAACGCTACTGGACCCATCATGGAAACGAAACATCCGTCAAAGATCCCCATGATACACACGCCAATAGCAAGCATATAAAACTTGTTACAAACTGGAATTAAAGTTGAAATGACCCCGATGACTAAGAATGCGATTTGTTGAAGTCTTAAAGGATTGACCCATGATAAGTCACTAACTGGTCCGAAGATCAGTCGCCCAACTCCCGATGTAGCACCCATCAAAGCGATCAACACCTCGGCATTCGCATTAGGAAGAATCAAATTCGTGTGGTTTATCTGAAAGAGAAAAAAACAATTGTAAACCGTTTATACGAAGATGAAGATACTAAGAGAGATGAGCTGCTAAATAGCTCTAATACTATAGTCGGTTGAAGATCAAATATAAATGTTACCGTACGAGAGCAGAAAACAACGTAACCGAGGCATGGTGACAAATGATATATTAATAAAGCATTGCATTGAGATATACATTTCCGTGAGCTTGCAATACTCCCGTACCAAGGGGCGAAAAAATATGGTTATTTCTGGATTATTCTGCAGTACTGTGTGACGACTTAAATGAGACCACCATAATAAATAATATATTATATATTTCATCGCTGTTCCCACGACTTACATTAAAATAATAATCAAAATTATATTTTATATTAAAATTATATTAATATGTTATAGTATATTCATAATGCTGTGTTGCCCATGCACAAATATATTTGGAAATCAAGTTCGATCGGTCGCCAATTTTGTTTTTCTTTTTACGTTTTTATAGTTGACATGAATGATGATGATGATGATGGTGATGATGATGATGATGATGATGATGATGATGATTACTATGATTCTGGATGCTTACGCCATAACACTCCCCAATCGAACTGGACCCCTAGGAAACCACTATACCACCGTAGGTGCTCTTAGAAGTCCAACCCCGGAACCCAGGGCAGCACTTGACGGCCGTGTCCTACTGTAGGAGTCGACACAAACTGGTCAGCTTCATGATTAGAACACTAAGCTTTTGATTTGGACATCATCGCTGAGACACTGAACGACGAGATAATGACTTCTGTGAAGAATGGAACGTGTTTGAATAAGAAAACTAGGCCTAATCTTTAATGAATATATTTGAAACTTTGATCCTGTTCATGGTAATTCTTTGAAATATAATAATTACAGATTAGCAGATAAACCAATCGTTGAAAGGAGTTGCTACTTTGTACCTCCGTGTTCTGTTTTTCGCGTGTTTATAGTAAATCATCAAATCATATTATTTTGTTTATTTTTATTTTATTTATTTATAAAACCCAACAGCGAAAACAATAATTGCCAATTACAGGCTTGTAAAAAAACATGAAACATTACAGACGGATTACGAGATAATTAAAAATCATTGCACTTACTTTTCCAGAAGAGAATACAAGTACGGAAAATAATATAATATAACAAAGGTAATACATATTTTAAAATAAAACTTTTAAAAATTACTCAGAAATGTAAACCGAGGCAAGTTACTTAAAAACCGCTAATGAATTACCGGTACTAAAAATGTCCACTTCTGGACAAGCGTTAAGCAAATCATTATATACGATATTGACGATATACGATTAACAAAACCATTTTTGCAAATAGGCCCTATTAACTTTTGGAAAGGAAATATAGAACACTAATTTTAGGAAGACTGAGATTAGGAAATTAAAATTAAAGAAAGAAATTAAATTACATTTGAAATAATTACTTATACATTTAAAAAAATATTAAGTCAAGGAAGGCCCTATTAACAATTGACTGAATACTCCCTTTATGATCGTATTTTCTTGAATTATAATTTAAATAATAAATATATTATAATATTTATAACAAGTGATAAGCTTTGTATACTCATTTTGCCAATGATTACAATTTTGCTCATTTTTCTAGTACCGTCTACAGTGACGATGCGCCGATTCATTTAATGTTTGTTTTGTATAGGCCTACAAGTTGTATAACTTGTTTAATGTGACGGTACTGTTTCATTGCGTGTTTATGTTTATAATAATAAACCGATTACTCACATGTTTATGATACCATTTACTTGATAAATTATAATTTAAATATTGTTAATAGTATAACATTTATTAACGAGGTTGGGATAAAATGTAAACATGTTGTAAATGGTTGAATTTAGTAATGAATTGTATAATTGGTCATGTATCTACTGTTCTTTCAGTCTTTGCTCTATTTTATTTATTTTTTTCAAAGATTAACGTAATTTATTCAATTTGAGGAGAACTCCACACCTAAAAAAACTTGCGCCCCCCCCCCCACTCACAATGAAAATTACCAAGCAAAATATTAAGTTCAAGTAGTTAAAAATCACCGTATTTGCTAATTCCCCTCATTACCGAGAACCCCACTTAAGCTTCGCCCCCACTCCCCACCTTCCCACACCACTCTTCAAACTAGACGCCACTGATTTTGAACCAAGGGATAAAAACCTACCAGATGTACGAAGGGCACGAAGTAGCCAAACAAACTGACTGGCGTTGCTATTGCCCAAACCAAGAAGTCTCGAACTCTCCAAATAGTGCAATCAATCTTTCTTCTTGTTCTAGGTCTTTTTGAGTCCGAAATCTCTGTCGATTGTTCGTTTAAATTAAGCGGTGTATACACGCATGCACAAGGAATTAAGACGGATACCAGCAGTCCGAGAAATTGCAAGGTTTTTTGTAATCCATATTTATCCTGGATCGTTCGCATTACCATTGGTAAAACAATAGTGAATATCGCACTTCCGGTAGTAACTAATCCGTTGACAAGTCCCATTTTCTTCTTAAAATAATGGCTAACTGTCTCTTATACACATCTAGAAAGGAATAATAATATTACATAAGCCTACATATAATACAATAGGCCTACCGATGATTTGTGATAGTTTGGATCTATAGCTCTTTCCTGGTGAAACGGATATAAGGTTAGTTACCGGTACCCTAGTATTCATAAAGCAAATTTAAAATACTTTGACGACAACGAAGATAACATGAGTTCATTAATCAAAGGAGATGTGAGCACAATTGTATCAGAACAGATAAGGAACACACCCCCTCATACTATGACGATGCAAAAGTTCGCAATGATCTTTCATAAACAAGATAAATTATATCGGTAAAAAGTTTGGTTTCAAATAGGTACGAATGTTACATGAGGCAGTTCTACTAAAACCGATATACCGATATTCTCGTTTGGCAATTTGGCCAATTGGCATATGAAACAAATTACCTATAAAATTGAATAATAAAAATCATCATTTACATCACACTAATTACCCTCCACGATTAACTTATTGCTCATGATAATTATTTTGTGAAATTGGTGTATATAAACTTGCATTAATTATTATTACCATGGTTAGAAAAACATTATGAGGATATCGATAACTATGGGAAAGCACTCCGTGACGAATTCCATGATAAACACTTTGCCTTCTGTGTCTAGTGCGCATGTTCTGTGAGGCCAATAAAGGATGGAATATGTATAGCAAAACGTGAGCGGGGGGCCAGAAGATGGGATATCGATTTCCCAAGTTTGTACTAACAAGGTCAATAGCTCATGATAATTATTTTGTGAAATTGGTGTATATAAACTTGCATTAATTATTACTGTATTACCATGGTTAGAAAAACATTATGAGGATATCGATAACAATGGGAAAGCACTCCGTGACGATTTCCATCATAAACAAAAATACTTTGCCTTCCGTGTCTAGTGCGCATGTTCTGTGAGGCCAATAAATGATGGAATATGTATAGCAAAACGTCAGCGGGGGACCAGAAGATGGGATATCGATTTCCCAAGTTTGTGCTAACAAGGTCAACATACATGTAAGCAACAGAATACAAACACAAAAGCACTCGTGTGTCACATTGGCCAGTTAATAGGCCTATTTTATATGTTTGAATGTTTACGATAAAATACCAATAAGAGGGGGCCAGTCGTCATTGTGTTGCTATGCTCTGTCGTCGTCAGAGGGTTAGACCTTCTTTGCTTTGCTCCCGATAAATGTCATGGTTTGACAATTATAGCCAGTTGTGTGTGCAATGGGTGGGATAGTGAGGAGAATAGTTTCTAATAATCAATTGAAAAACAAATAATAATAATATAATAATTAATGTGTATTTATTGCGCTTAGTACAACAAAAGGACCATGTACTCAGCTTCCCTATAGAGTATTTCATAAGTGACACTGCATGGAATAAATCAGCTTTGGCACTCGAACCTCCTCGTACTTATGGATAGATAGAGAAACGCAAAATTGCTTTGGCAAGAACATAATGGACTTGCACTGCGAGGATGTTGAACCCTGACTAAACAAATTACATTAATTAATTGATTAATTAATTAAGAGTTTGAGCCACAACCATACACAGGGAACTACATCCCAAATAACATACCGTAAGCAATTCTAATATAATTTAATAATTTGATATGTTTATTAGGCCCCGGAGTACAAACATCTAGTGTCCAGGAAAAAATTAATGTTAGCACGCTTTGGTGGGGATGTGCGCATTATAAATAAATTATTTTTATTATTAGGCAAACAGCCAAACGATTCATGGTATTGTGTTTAATTAATGGAGAGATACGTATTTTCTGTGATTGGCCAACGTTTCAATCAGACGCGCGCAATCGTACTACAAAAGCTGGCTGCAGCCAACTCCTGCGCGAGAAAGTGCTAAGCCTACTGTGGACCAATCAGACTACAGCTTTGTGCTTGCGAATTGATACGGTACCTCTTATTGTACTTCGCATGCCGTCGTGATCTAGCGCTATTACTGTGGACGGGACTAAAAGCTACGGTACTCATCAATTTACCACAAATAAAATACTCAACAATTGGTACGGTCACTCAAAAAGTGTCCCGAAAAATGTCGAACAATACCGAATACCACAAAATAAAAGTATCGATAAAAGCAAACTAAGCTTAGATTATTTTCATTACAAATTCAAACCTATATTCAGTACTTGAAGTACAAGAAAAATGGTAAAATACACCCATATTAATTTTTAGGCTATACAGTATTATTTGCCTGTGCTTATATACGTGCTTATCTCTGGCGCTATAAACGTTTGACGTCACAACCGAAAAGCTGTTCAACGCTTGCGTATAAGCCCTGATTGTCAAATAATAGGCCTAATAGTACTTATTCCGGCATTACTTTTTTGAGTATTGAGGATCATTTATGTAAATAATTTCTTCAATATGTTAGGAATAAAGTGAGAAAATGTAAACGCCTAAAAATCCCCCACCGAGATACTCAGTGTGTCTAAAACCGTGGAGCCATGCTCAAACTAATTCAAGTTGATTTGCAAAAAGTGGAGATGCAAGGCCAACAAAGATGACCACAGCATCATGCATGGCGCAAAGTCGCCCCTTTGTTCAAAAAATCCATAGGTCAATATTGAGGTCATTCCTCTGTAATTTTTCAAATCAATATTCCATTGTTGTTTCCAAATAACAATGGTATGATTGAAAAAAAAGCTAAAAAACAATTGCTCATATAGAAAATAAAAGAAATAAGAGAAGATCGATAATGATTTATCATGTATACGATAAACAACATATTTTGACAAATCTGAATAAATTTGTCAAAATATTTTTTTATTGTATACACGATAAATTCAGATTTGTCAAAATATGTTGTTTATCGTATACATGATAAATCACTATCGAATCGTGTAAAAACCTCTTATTTCTTTTATTTTAGAGGTCCTTTTGGTGGTGATTGGACCATGCAAGTAAAAACAGGCCTTTAAACGTCTCATCCGAAATATCTTGCATTTCAAGGAAGAGCAGATGATATAATTGGATCAACGATCTCTCTACGGTTTAGCACACACAGTACCACCAAACCGTAAATCCCCCAGCATGACAATCAGAGCTAATAGTTGATTTCAAGTAGTAGACTTAACAGTAACACGAAACGGCACAATAAACATCGAACTATTGTATTTAAATTATGATTGTAATCCTAAAGTTCAGTGACTTCCCGTTAGTGTATAAGGAATGGAAAATGTACTGTAGACTTAAAGCGTATTATGAAGAAACATAAATACTGTAGGCTTCATAGAGGTAGTGTGAATTCATAAGGCCCTATCCACCAATAGAATGCAAGAGGAATGATGATGATGATGATGATGATGATGATGATGTTGATGAAGATGATGATTATAGTGATGACGATGAGAATGATGATGTATTTGACCATACACATAATTTATTGTCATATACATTAAGACTTTCTATATAGTACCGTAGTTTTTACATACGGTACTGTACATCGTTGAAACCGATCTCTCATAAACAAAGGTCTCAGAAAATTACGAGTTTTAAGATGACATTTCACTTAGGAGGAGGCCTATTATAAATACAGTAATTCGTAGAAGGAAGTATTTTGACGAGTTTCACTTATAAAGGGAATTGCATATTTCAACATTAATCGGATGTATTTCGCAATAAAATAATCGTATGATGAAGGGTGAACAACCACCAATCAAGATATTCAAAACTGTTATAGGCCTATTATAAAAGATATAATTACTATTTGCAAAAAAGACATTTTAATTGATTGATTGTACTCAATTGTTGATTTGATCATTCGAACGAAGTTTTAACGTCATTTTAATATTTGTTTTGCATAAAAGAAGAATATAGACCGGGTCATTGTGGGAATAGTAAACCTTTGTTTACAGTGTAGGCCGATATCACCTGACATACAGGATTTGTATACGACCAGAAGGAAGTAGGCCTATATTACAAAGGGTACCACACTTTAAATTAGATTAAGTCTGGTTTCATTAATATCGCTAAACTGTCGCAGTGTTTTCAGTGCAATCGTTGACCGACCAATCAGCATCACCGAAAGCCGTCGTCGATAGCGTGTAGCGATTGTATGGAAACCAAGCTACTGTGTGTCAGAGCATAGAGAAAATAGAATATGTTTTCTATGGTCAGAGAGATACCATACCATACGCAAATCATCACTTCTCCTATCTAATTTGATATTATAGTCACCGACGCGTAATAAATTGCGTGTGCCAGCTGTGCTCAGTGGTCATGGGTTATTATTAACAAAATCATAAAATTAGTTAATCAGTTGGTTAATCAGTATTACAAATAACTGCTCCTTTAAGCGACCTATAACAATTTAGGCTGGTTACGTTCACGTAAAAAAATAGAAATTTGCTATCTGGAAAGACTGTCATCCACAAGAAATTTATATTGATAACTCTGTGTACACACTATTTATCAGTTTCGAATTATTGTAGGCCTATTGTGCTGTTGCCTAGTGTCAATATTAGTGTGGCACAATAGCGAGAAAAGTTGACGGTTTATGGTGAATCGCCTGATAATCATCGTTTCTGTCACGCTATCATTTTTTAAGTTGGATACCAGTATCACAATGGAATACGGGAGGATACCATAACCATAGACCGTATAACGTCTTCTATGCCCTATACTGTCCTAATATTACGTATTAGGCCATGAAGGAAGGAAAAGGCCTACTTAATACTATACGTTTATAGTTTATTGACATAATAATCGAAGATCAGTTGTAAAGTGTCCTATCATGATCAATTACGACATGATACGATTTCTTGTGCAATCAGAAAAAAAAAACCGGTAGAGTCATTCATTATTATTTGTCCGACCTGGTCCGACACCGCATGGTAGTAATATTAAAATATTATTTTTTGAATATTTTGTCCTTGAATGATAAACCATGATTAAATAAATGGTACTACGAACATACAAACAAAAAAAAACATAAAGAGTAATAATTATCTGGAGAAAAAAAATTGAATAGAATCATAGAGATAAATGTTATGAGACGATTTCTTTAATGACGACAGATAATATGGTATCGTAATTCCGTTTAGAATCCTTTTGGGAAACATGATTTGAAATGGATGTAGCTGTCCACGGAAGAATACAAATTAAACTACCTCCATGCACTGGCAGGCCTATGAATGATAGGCCTACTAATCTATGGAGAAATTATGCGGACGTTTTTCATTTATTGCCCTATCACAAAAGGATAACATTGTGCAAGGAACTGCAAGAAGGAACGTAAACCATGCTTAAACCACGGAAACTAGCCTTGTGGTAACAATATTGGGAAGATTAGGCCTATAAATTTCTGTAATTATAGCTACTCCATCCATAAGACACTATCTATGTCCTTGGACTGGTCGTCGTATTACTAAAAGAACAATAGTCCTAGCCTACCGCCATAGAGATGGGACTACAGTACTTACATGCCGTTGTTAAATTGACGTTTTCTATCTCGTTTAGAATTTGAATTAAGAGTACACCAAAGCAGTTTAATATCCCAAATACTGTTCCGTTTGTCCAAGTAGACGCTAGGCAGACGACCCATCCCCAGCCTCCCTCGGGAGGTTGGAATTCACCGTTCATCTTGCTTGTTTACCGTTGTGTGACAACCGGCCTCTTCACAAGTCGATCAGCTGTTTTTGTTTCTGTTGTTGCACAATCCAATCCGTCAATCTGCTCTTGTACACGCCTACATTTTCCAATTGACCAATGAGCGCCAACCAGTATTACTAAAGGTTATATAGCACTGGAGGTACAATAGGCCTAGGCTTAGCCCCAGACCTAGCCAATGCATATGCATTAGGCTAGGTCCTGCGCTATTCTATGCCGCCTATATACCTAGTCCTTGCAGCATTTTGTAAAATTTGTGTTATTTATTTATATAAGATTTTTGATTTTTCATTCATTCATTCATTCATATGTACATTTATTTATCTTTTCTTTTATACGGTACATTTGATAATCATGTTAAAAATAAAAAGAGCAAGATTCCGAAAAGCAAAAGGCTTGAGGTGGGCTGCCCACATAGGCTATACAGGAAACTACAAACGATACAAGACAATAGACAGGACAGGAAAGAGAAAAGGAAAGGAAAATAAAAACAGGACGATACAAAAACGACAAGAAGCAATGCTCAAACAAAAAACCCATAAAAGCATAAATAAATAGCTTAAATCTAAGTGATAGAAAGAAAACAAAATTAGGCCTAGGCCTAGACATATTTGGAAAGTATGTTTTTTAACCTGTTGGTAAAATTTATTTTTGAATTGGAATTTGAAATTGTAAAAGATTGATATTTAAATTATTTTCTGAATATAAATTAAATTTAAAAAACATTAGAAACGTACCGGTACCTTTTTATTGCGAAAGAGGAAGTTGTCACACATTTCATATGTAGCTAAATACGCAATAAAAAAAATCGCATTCTAGATGCGGTTCTCCTGCCACGCGTTCAACCTCGGCGTGCGTCGCGTTAACGCACATAATTACGTAATCAATGTGCAAAGAGCACGAACGATCGGAATCATATCCTAAAATTACCATTTCGTCCTCCCATATTTTTTATTTTTTTACAGACAATATCTTCTTACCAGTTCGTTGTTTTATTCATCATACCTTCAGTGACCAACTGGTCTTCAAAATTCTTCTCAACAGATTCCTTTAAATAATAATAATAGATGGATTTATATAGCGCAGATAAACGAGGTCTATGCACTCGGGACTAGCTAGATGTTGCACTTCATCACTACAGGTTGGCGCTCATTGGTCCCTACATGTCCACCGCAGCCAGTAAACTGGCGCACTTGCATCAGTCCACGACAGGGGCCGAGTGAACCAGTACACCGGGGGTAACCCCTACTCATCTTGAAAGATGTACTGGGTTCTTTAAAGTGCACATGAGCATTTGTGTACACTGGGCCTACGGTTTATAGTCCTTATCCGAGAAGACTTGTTCCACCGCCCAGTGGCGTCGAGAACCAGTGAGGGCCCCGGTGAAACACCTCACATGGGTCCCCCTTCACTTGGGACCCCCACTCGGCTGCTCCCCAAATTAAGTCTCCTCCTAAATCTGACAACAAAAGTTTTCATCTTGGCTTGGGCTTGGGCTCGGGCCCTATGGAGATTTTGTTCTTACCCCGAAAATGTTCATCTTGGTCCGGGGCCCCCCAGTAGACCCGGGCCCCGGGAAAGCGACTCTCTGCCCCCCACCCCCTCGACGCTACTGCCACCGCCAGAACTATAGGAGCGAGCCGGCCGTAAAACTGTGCCGATATTGTTGGCTCGCTCGCTTTATTCAGTATTTAATTTGTTTGGCGACAGCTCGCAGTTTTACATAAACGCATTGATTGGTTCCGATATTTTGAGATATATGTGTGTGGCAGACGAATCACGCGCCTCTCGAATAAATGCAACGGCGTTTATTTTTTTTCTCGAATAAACGCCCACTTCGCAACAAGAAATGACTGTAAACAAAAAATGTAAAGGAAGAAATATCATTTTTCAACACATTCTATTAATTTTCTACGTAGTAGAATTACGTCTTTTCTAATCTGCTTGGGATCAATACCGTAAGTCTTTATGATCACGCAATAACACATTTTGACGGTAACTATGTTGTAGTTCAACATATACAGCAGGGGTGGCGCCAGTGAGGGAGAGTCAGCCCTTTCTGCTCGGGGAAAGTTGTTCCCTTCCCCATCGGAGAGAACAACCACAATTCCTCGGGGAGAGAAAACGTATATTCTATATATTAGTAGACTATAAAATCAATAAAATAAGCCTTTAAAACCCCTAAATTGTCTAAATTTCGGGGATTCGCACTAGGCGACTTTCGAAATATTGTGAGCCACGTCTGACAACGCCCACGGGCGTTGATTCGCAAAAATACGGTGTTTATGTGCATTAAATATTATATAACATGTAAAAAATGAACAGAAACAAACAGATTCTCAAAACTGTTGAAAATAATTCGTTTTATTGGAATACGCTGTTTCACAACCATCATTCAAATCAGCAATTCTGAAATGCGTTTGCTTCATCTATACACTAAAAGAGGGCGGGCTTTACAAACGTTAAATATTTGCCGAAGATTGGATGGCATAAAATGAACAAATTGATTTCTATGTATATTTTAGGGTACAGCTTCATTATGGTAATTAGCATATATACATCAACTGCGACAATGCTTTTACAAAGCACAAAATACTTGTAAAAAACGGATGCTAAACTATAATACATAAAATAAGTAATAGATATTTTCTGAAAATGTATTGAAAACAAAATTTGAAGTCGCATTAATTCTGAAAATAATTCTATTCCCATTTTTTGTATGCCCAAGTTTAACGGACGAAATTTCAAATCTTGGATATAACATGGAACATTAACCAAAATTTCTTATAAATAGGACTAGCTTAATTGTTTTAGTTCATTCATAAAATTAATTAGAAACTATTTTTTTTTTTTCAGTAGTTGAAAACCCACTGTGTAAAAGTGGCCATTGATATTGAAACATTGAACACATTGAATACAATAATCATTAAGTAGTAGTAATAATTGTATGAAACAAAATACTCCGAATAAATATTATAATAAATTATCATTATTGTTATACTACTAACCACATTTCATGAGAAAATCAATTTAAATTTTCAATAGCACATTTATGTATTTATAACCAGCACACCATAAATCAATGAAGCTCTTATAGAGTATTCTCGCTATGTCACAGCATCACACAATTTTCCAGTTCTAACGTGGTAAAGTGGTAAGTGACAGGGGCAGATCCAGAGATGTCCGAAAGGGAGGGAGCACGATCGAGAGACAACACTACCATAGGGGGGCCTGGGGAAATCCCCGGGAAATTATTATTTTCTAAATGCCCGGAAATAACCTCTGAGGCGTTTTGGGCGATCAATAATATCTTTTTATTTCTTTCTTTTTTTTATAATTTTTTTCATTTCGAAAAGGTAGCCCAGGGCCAGGCCCCCTCTAAATCCACCCCTGCGTGGTGATGTGACATCACTGGAGTAGTACTCTGCAGCCCCATGAGACTTTCTATTGTCATGGTGTATACTGTATATCAGGACAGTACAGAAAAACAAAACTGGGGTTTTTATAAATATACTGTATATAACACATTTGTTCAATTAAATGGTTTTCTTTTAATACAAGATTATAATTTAACCCACAATAAATTTAAATCAAGTTCATTGATTAAACACATACACTTTATTCAGTTACACTTGTTTTATCTTTGGCGAATGAGAAGTGTATCATATCACTGCTAAAATATCATGTGAACAGATTCAACCTAAGGTCCTGTTCACACTATTAGGATTTAAGACAAGAGAGGGTGATTTACCTGTACAGTAAATGGGCATTGCGATGTCATGTCTCACCCATGTCATGTCTCACCCATATATGGATAAATTCCTGGTATTTGTCACTTGAAAGTGTTCCCGAACAAGGGCCTACTTGCGTTTGCCCATATCTGACTCCAGTACTCAGAAAATTTACAATTTGTTTTTAAAAAAAACTGTGATTCCTGATAAGAATCGGACTCACTACCTCCATGTTATTAGGACAGCACTATACCATTTGCCCACCAAGCTTGAGGTGATGGCAATTATGGGTGAATACAATTTTCCAGATATTATTTATATTATCTATTCATATGTTAAGGTTTGCATGGTGCAAAATAACAACAAATTATACTTCTTTGTGGTATACAATGTTTTCAGATATTAAACACAAATGATTGCAGTTCTGAAAGTTGTGTAAGATTTGCCACCAAATATTGTACAAGCATTTGAAGATTTTCTGAACAAACAACAAAATTTGATATAATCATGTCTTACATGATAAGGTATTTAAAATATTCATTAACAGAACTGTTTCACATAAAATAGCTACAACATGCCTCATGTACCAACACAACCTATCCAAACTCATGAAGACAAAACTGAGGCTCTGGCTTGGTGGGTGAAGGGGAAGACAATTCAGTAACACTTTAACAAATTTATCTATCAATCAAACTGAACACCGTGAATGGTAACTTGTTTATAAGTAGTCAATTTTCAAGACAATAATTATTTTCAAGACAATAAAAAGGCTATATACATTAACTGCCTAATTTTCAAGGCAAAGAATATGTACTATATTAAAATAATCAAGGACATGTGTCTACCATAGCTAAAACAAAGAAATGCAGTACTTATTCAATAAAGATAAGTAATAACTATAATAAAAATAAATCAAAGATATCAAAATAATAAAACAAGTTATGTAACTGTGTAATAAAATAACATTAAATAATAACAATAAAAACATCAGGAAACCAGTAAGTTTTGAGGAGTTAACCAACAAAAAAATGTATCTAATGTTAACAATCATATTGATAAAGGCCAACTCAGACAGCGTTGTACAACGCAGCCCAACGCAATTCATCGTTGGGGACAGTCTTAAGCTGTCGTGAGAAAATTAAACATGTTCAATATTCTACGACGCGACTGCCCCTGACGCAGACCATCGCGTCTGTGTTGAACTCGCACAGACCTGACATGACAACAAATCGTGTCGGGCTGCGTATCACAACACTGTCCGAGTTGGTCTTAACAAAATTACAACTATGACTGGTCCCCATCAACACAATGGAAAATTAACACAATAAAAAATAAAAAGCTAAATTATATCTAACAAAGAAAATGTCCAGATCTTTGCAAGCACAAGCTAATATTTATCATAGCAAAACCACTTTTACGAAAAAAAAAACAAAACAAAACTACACACACACTTTCTTCATATACTTACACTGTACACTCTCTTTTCAAAAAGCACACATCATAAAAATTGTACAGGAATAAAACCCCCGGGAGATTTCAAAATATATACATATCCATACACAGCTCAAGAATTATCAACAGCGCCCTCTACCCATATTCATTATATGGCAACTTAAGGCCTCTCTGGAGCATTTCCATGCACCTATTATTCACACCAAGGTGTTATACTGATTATCCCACCCAAACCAAGAAATTCAGTGTTACCCATCCTTCATTACAATATATGGACATTCTAGTAAGGACTTTTGGGACCAGTTTTGTGTAATTAAAACATAATAACATGTTGACATATCCTCTTTAACACCCTCTTTGGTCGTATCTAATAGCAATATCTTTGAATTCAAGATGTATACACCCTGTTATTTGAATGTGCACTTTACTAGTACATAATACATTTATTGTAAGGTAGAGGGTGAAACTTTTATCTGATTGGGTAATTTACGAAGTGATCTATGATTGGCATATAATAAAAGGTTCTTTGAAATCACAATTAGATTTAACATTTTCATATTTTACCAATGGAATCAGCATAGATTTCAACATCGTTGAATCCGTAAAACTGAATTTTGGGAAGAGAATTTAGGATTATGTGGTGTACAAGTCTCAGGAGCATAAAATAATACTTTGAATTGATTAAGGTCTTCAATTTTTTAATCATTTTCTTAGTACACACAGCAAAATGTGGCATAGTGTCTAAATTGTTAACATCATATAATGTCTGTATGTTTAATTATTGCTGTGTAGTATTCATTTAATCAGATATCAGAACAGATTTTTTATAGCTAACACTGAACAATTTAACATGAGAGATTGTTATTTATACTTCATAATATAAACGTGTACACACATTTTCTACTTTCCCCTTGCATGTATGTTTTATACACTCAAGAAAATGATGAAAATATGGATGGATGACCCCCTTTCACAAAATACTTATATCTGAAGAGAAGGCTCTTGTGAGGCTACCTTAAGTTCTAATCAGCTACAGTTTCTTGGCTTTAAGCTTCTCCACTAGGTTGCTGAGTTTGACAGCTGGTCCCAGCTTGAGTCCCATGTACTTCATCATCATCTCACTGTTCAGAAGAAAGAAGGCCTTGCCATCAATCTCCTGCAAGAAAAGATAGGTAAACAAAATCTTTATAGCAATTAATGTTATATTCATAATGCTTTTTTATGTTTTAACTAGTTTAGATTACTTATCTGACCATTGGTACAAGGCAGAGCCTGGCAGTCCTAGACACCTTTAACTACCTTTCCCTGATGCAACAAGTATTAGTTTCTTACATGTTTTTTGAAGTGGTCGCTGAACCTTGCAAGAGCCGGATCAACATCCGAGACAAATTGTATGACATCATCGATAGACCACTGTGTTGGATCCGAACTGCGAGGTTTGGTCTCTGGCTTCACTTCAGGAGTTAATGATGTCGTTGAACTTGCAGCTACAAAAATATATGAAAAATAATTACAAAAAAAGGAAAAGAAAATGAGAACAATTACATAATATTTATTTATTACATAGATTTTGACAGACAAATATTCCCAAAATAGATATATAACAATAAATAATAATTACAAAAAAAACAAAGTATAGGATAATTTGTATCTTACCTTCTGTTTTAATCTTTTTGTTGACTTTGGGCTTGGTGGATTCCCTTTCAAGTTGCTGGCCTGATTCTGAAGACCATCTTCTTTTTGATTTATTGCTTCCTCCAACTGACAATGAGCTACTTGATTGCTCCAGAAGGAGGTCTACACAAAACAATAATAGCCTGATGACCATAAGAGTAAACACATATGCCACTTGCCTTCAGGAGAAAAACTTAAAAAATTGGTGCCATATTTCCGTGATTGTAAGCCCACGTACATGCCCAATGCAGATGGGAAAGGTAATGGGATTACAGAGATCCCAAGTTTGAAAACCAAAAAATAGGGAGATTTTTTTCATGAAGCTATCGCCTCCTGTAGCGACGCGCTGTGACGCCTTACAACGCGC